TTTTTTTAAAAGGATATTTTGTGGAGAGTTTATGAGATTACAATTAATCGAAATACAATATATACGATACATATATGTATATAGTTATAGATTCAATGTCTCGATCAATTAAATTTGAGTTAAAATATTAAACAATAAAAGCTCTAAGGGATTACATGTTTTTGAGTAAAGATTGTTGACTGTTCCAGGCCAGGAACTGGTATCAGGCACATCAATAAGCGTCTGGACAGTATTATAATAACAAATAAAACATGCATATGTATCTAGATACATCTGTATATATAGATGTATCTAGATACATGCGCTCTTCCAGTCAATTCCGACCAAGGTCTGCATTCCGTTGCAGCTCTTGTAATATTAGCGCAGAATATTTTATTACACAGTAATTTATGCAAAAACCAAAAACAAAAACAACAATAAACAGAGGCAGGAGTATAAAAAAACAAAGGCAAGGAGGGGTAAATACACAGGCTTGAGTAAGGTGTGGAGCGCGGGGGTCTACACTGAAAGCTTTGGCGACGCGCTGCCGACGGCAAAAGAAAAAAAAATAACCGAAAAACTGTTTTATATGCAAGGCAAAGAAGAAGAAGAAGACATTGGCAAGGGCGCAAAAAGGTTTGTGTAGCAGATGAAGAGGAAGCAGGAGCATCGGAGAGGGACGCATGCGCAGCTGCAAACGTCGCCAGCCAGCGTTGATTTATGAAAGTGCACGAAACGGAGCGGGCGACGGGCCAAAGAGGGCGATTGAGCCGGGGGCGCAGAATCATGCAAATGCGAACAGGACTGGGGCGTAGAGGGTAGGGGTGTTGGGGGGGGTGCAACTTATGGGGCAAAGTGTGTGCTGCGTATGACAACAATTTACGAGCTTGCAACGAACAGTTTGTGGCAACACCCACGCAACGATCTTCGGTGGCACTCACTTGCAGGCCCGGATATCCGTAGGCGCTCTGATAGAGCAAAAGTGTCATATAGACGACGGCAACGGCGAGTGTCATCGCTTGCAGGAGGCGTTTGTAACGTTGCGGCAGCGAGACAACAGTCAGGCTCATCATATGCTGGCGGCCACTACGCGAACATCGATCGTGCGATCGAATCGAATCGATAAGCGGATGGACAACTATTTGCACGTCAGTTTAAATATTTTCTCTTAAATTAAGCCAACTTCAGTTTTTGTTGTTTCACTTTTGAGAATTCACAGTTAGCGTTTTTTTTACGAAAAACTCACGTATTGTGCAAGCGGCACGCGCGCGTACGTCTTGCTTGGGGCGAGTTTGCTAGGCAACTGACGACGACGAGCTGGCTCAGCTTGGCTTTCCAGCGAAAATCGTAAACAAAACAAACGCAGCGAGCAAACCTGCAAGACGACCCGCTCAACGCGAGAGCAACTGAACGTGCGTGCGAGCGAGAGCGCACTGCTCTGCTCCAATTGGAAGCGTTGTGCGCATGCTGCTGTTGCGCAACAGAGATAGCAAGCAAACGATCGCTCTCTCGCAGCAATTGCATTTTTCCAATGGGAGCACGATCGGGAAGAGAGCGATCGGTCGGGTTTGCTCGTTGACTGGTTAGTTCCGCCTCGGCATGTGCCACAGTAGCTGCCGAAGGCGATGATCGGGTGTAACGCAACGTGCGCAAATCGTGGGCGTTAGCGCGCTCCCCCTCTCTGCGCGTCTCTCTCGCTCTCTCTCTGTGTCTTTCGCATTGTCTCTCGTTTAGCTGTTATCCTGCTGCTGGCACGTCCTTGCACGCGACCTGCACACATAAACAACAACAACAACAACGGCAGCCGAGCTCTGAGTGCATATCTATTTTTGCAGCCACCGCTGCTTGCACCTCCACACCCTCTCTACCGGCCCACGAGCCGGCAGCCGACGACAATTCCATTAAAAGTTGTTCGTTGTCACTTTGCGTTCTTTTATCTGTGGAGCATGTTGTGCGATCGCATTTTTATTGTCGCCATTGTTTCGGCCCTCTGCCTCTGCCGCAGTCGCAGTCGCAGTTACTGCCCACACACACACACACACACACACACACACACACACTCACATGCGCCTGGTTCGTACCGTTTTTGTCGCTTTTCTTCACTTGACAATGCTTTGCATGCCATTGCCCCCGCACCTTTTTACCCGCCCCCTCTAGTCCACCTCACTCCTGCTCTGCATGGCCTGTCATATTCCATGTTTGTGCCGGCGACAAAAGCTCTTGCGGCTCTTGGCAACGTTGACGCTGACTGCGCTGCTCGCACAATCAGCAACTCGGCATCTTGTTCGCTGTCCCTTTGTGTGCCTTTCGCCTGAATTGCATTTAAAGAGGCCCGAACCCGGGCCTGCTCCGCGCTGCACCCGTCCCACTTGGCCCGGGCGGCCAACCTTGTTCTGCCAACTGGAGGCAAAAAAAAGACATCGTCTACCCGCTCGCCCGTGCCGCGCGTCTCGCGTTTCGCTCGCCAAAAATGCCTGTTAACCAACGTCGTTGCTCCTCATGCCTCATTTTTAATGTGCAATTTTTATACCCTGTAAACGGCAAACTGCTGAAATGGGGTATGACTAAACGTACGTCATTATTGGCCAAGACTTCTCTACTCTTCAAATATTCTAAAAAAAAAAAAAAAACATAATTATAGCCTTGATTTAGATACAGGGTATCTCTTAGCTTAGCGCTCTCCACCATAGCACAACTTTACTAACAGCTCAAACTGATGCCGATTACAGGGTATCTTTTAAGTAAGCACTCTCTACTCAACTTTATTTTACTTGGAGATACTTCTGAATATGCTCAAACTGTCGCTGTATACTGGGTATCTTGTAGTTGTGCACGCTCTACTAGAGCAACACCTTTCTTGCCACAGAACCACTGCAGCTGTGTGTGTGGCTTGTGTGCGTGTGTTTGTGCGGCTTGTGTGTGTGTGTTTGCATAGCTGCTGCGGTTGGGGCATGTGCCATGTGCCTCGAAGTCCACTGACTCTAGTCCTCGGCCTGGCCGAGACACGGCGCGCCGCTTGCTGCAGCCAGGTTTATCGCTGGCCTAAACCTTGTTAGGATTGTAAAATGTAAACCGAAGGCGTCGGTTGCCCCGGTTGTAGCCTCTGCACACACCCCCCCCCCCCCTTGCCAATCCCTGATCCTCTCTGGTTGCAGCTAGAAATTCAGCTATAGCTTGCGGCCTGGTCGAGAGTGCACTTCAGTTGGCGCTGCGCTCGACTGGCACACGCTGCAGCTGCCTCCGACGTCGCTTAATCGAAAACGTTCGCGCAAACGCCCTGCGGTTGATCAGAGAGGGGAAAGAGGGGGAAAGGGGGGCACGGGGAACGGTTGGCACAGAGTCAACGACTGCGCGCGTGCGCCAAAGCGCTCAACGTGTTCATTTCTGGGCTCCACTTTGGGAGCTCAGGCAAAAATGATGCCCGGTAGTCATGCAACAGCAGAGGTGGCGGGGGGGAGGATGGTGCAAGCAATTGTTGCAAAGCATTTTGGACTGACAGATTTGCGAGCAAGCGAGTGAGTGACTAGCTGACTGACTGACTGTCGCCTCTTGATTGCGTCTACGAAATGCCAACCAAATCGGAGAGAAAAAACGCCTCCCACCCCGTCCCAGAACCGAGAGCTCCAACAAACATCCATCAATGTGGTATGTGGCCAGATCTACGGCCGGAACGTATTGTCCTCCCATTCCTGATATTTGATGCGCATATTGATGGTACGCACGGCGCACGGCACTAAGCAGCCGCAAGATTAATGGACCCCGAATTAGTCAGTGTCATTTAGTGGAACGCTCGCTGTGCCCCAACTGATGGGAATCGTATTGTAGAGGCATGGTTAGCGTATTCAGACGTCGCCCACTGGCCATTAGACGGGCTCTTAGAGTCAAAATAAATGTAAATTATACGAGCTTGGCCCAATTGGCTGGTACAAGTTCATTGAAAGGCTGCAAGAGGCGCAATCAAAATTAATTTAAGCATTGTGTTCTTTCGATAACATCGATCAATAACTGTCAACACAGCGTACGCTACTCTGCAGACGAAGTATATCAATTTGATAGAGTGCTTTGGCGCGTTTAATGTTCTATTATGTCTTTAAAGCATTTGAGAATCGCATAAAAGGGTGCACCCAGTACAACTCAAATATATACAGTCTTAAGCTAAGAACATACAAATGTTAGCTTGTCAAGCTCCTTGAGAATTACATAGAAGGGCGGCTCTACTTCGTCACAACATCAATTTTTAAAAAATGTTGTCATAATAATATATTGTATAGTCGGTTATTAAGCAATGAGAATCGCGCAGTTAAAGTGCAACAGGCAACTAGCGAGGCTTTTCCTGAATGAGAATCGCATAGAAGCGCAGCACCAGTTCGACTTAAGCCCAAGCCATGACTTTAGCCAATTCTTTTTCTGTTTAGCTGCTGCTCCCAAAAATTGTAAAACGAATTTCGTTTCACCATTTTTTTTACAGATTTTCGATTTGAGATTTTTTAGATTTGTGCTGTTGGGGCAAGAAAAGAGGAGACCACCTGGCGTCAGCGGAGGCTAATTGCATTGAAGGCAACGCTGGCACAAAGAAATGTTGCCAGGTGATGATATCAGCATGATCAAGCACTAAAATAAGTACAAATAATGGAAACACAGTCCCTTACCCGCGCGCCGTAGCCTCTCTGCTCTCTTGTAGGGCTTACAATTTGTTGATTCAACGCGGCATGAAATCGCTTTTCAACTATGTTGAACTTTAATTAAACGATTTTTTTCTCGCTAGCTCTCGCCCCCATTTGCCCTATGCTGGGAAGACATGATGGAGCTCACTAAGCCCTGCCTAAGTTAAATTACGTTTAAGCCGATTAAATTTAAGTTTGCCAAGCGTTTCGATTTTTCTAGTTTAGTGTTTGTTTTTTTTTTTTTTGGCTGGCTGCGGCATTTGAAAGGTCATTAAAGTAAACCCGGCTAATAAGTTGACCAAACAGTGGACTGTCGACTACGCATAGTTCTGTGCTCAGTTTTTTCCCAAAACCTAATTTTTCAATTTACCAAAGCAATTAACAACAAATTTTATTGGCTTTTAAGTTGTGCAAACACTCGGCGCGCATAATAAAATGTATCTGTGAGATACGCACAACAACAACAACACACAGTTTGCCGCTATTGATCAAGTGTTTGACGACTCTTCAAGATTTGTTTTATATACCCTGTACGCAGTGAATGTGGACAGAAAAGGGTGTCATGTTTTGTGCAGGAATATGTATACAGGCAATATATCTTTGTTATATAGAAAATTTTAGTTTTAGTATGTCCATTTCACTTGCATTTCCTTAGCAAGAAGTCTGTTATTAAGCAATGAGAATCGCATAGAAGCACACAGGCTTCTCCTGAATGAGAATCGCATAGAAGTGCAGCACTAGTTCGGCCATGACTTTAGCTATGGAAAGAAAGGACAGCTTGTTATTCATAGTAGAAAGCAAGCATTTTTATTACAGGGTATCTCCTGCTCGATCACTCTCGCGTAGAGCACACTTGTTTGTTGTTGTTGTTGATTATTTACCTGAGCACTGCAAGTGAGCATTTCAGCCTTTCTTTAGAAACTGTGCAGCGAACCAGTTTGTTGTAGCCACACACACACACACACGCTCTCCCCTTCCCTCTCTCCTACCCCTGTTTCCCCTCGCTGTCTTCTCCAAATCTCTTTCCATCCCGCTGTTTGATTATGTGTTTCATTAATTAACAAACCGAAGCTGGCTCTTGAAGAGTAACTAACGCCGCGTAGTAGATGCGATTCGATATGTCTGATTTGCTGGTTATGTGAGTCCACAGCGTGGCAGCTACAATACCAGCTCCACACACTCTTCCTGCCCCCCATTTTATCCATCTCTCTATCAGCCGCTTGACATTCATATTTTATAACAAAAAGTCATGTGTAAATCTCTGGGATTGACACTCTCCGTAGGTGCCAGCTTGCATGTTATGCTACCGACTACCGAAATCCTGCTTTTGCCTCCTCCTGGGAGCCGCTGTAGGCTACCCAATCCCAGTCCCAGTCGCAGTCACAGTCCCGGGGCCAGGAAGACTGTGGCGACTGTGGCGACTGTGGCCACGTTTTGGTCGGCTACAATGTGCCATAAATTTATGACACTAGTAAAAGTGCTCGCTGTTGCTGTTGCCGATACGAGTAAATGGTAGTCGTACTATCTGTGGTTACGAGCAGATGTCTCCCTCCTACCCTCCGTGTAGTCCATTCCCGCCGGCTGGTTACATTATGTTGCCTTTGTTTCTGGTGCACATTACATGACACCGGGAGTTATATTGCGAGCGTAGATGCCATTTAAAAGCAGATAAATAAACTTAATGCCAACTCAGAGGCAGCCAGGAAAACCAGCGGACGCCTCTCTGTGACATACGCAGCCCGCAAAGTGTCGTCTTCACATATTTATTTATGTTGTTGCCATCCTCTGATGTTACTCGGGCGTCCCGCGGTGCAGCTGGCACTACAAAGCTTTAAATAAGGCCAGGAATTTGGCAAGCCAAGCGATTTGCTGCAGCCTATTTCTTAAACCTATTTAAGAACTGTTAGTAACTCTAGTGGGACAAAAGCTGGAACTGGGACAAAGCTGGAACAAAGGACATCCTTGATTCCATGCATTAATATAATAAAACAAGAAAGATCTTTGCCATATAAGCCCAAGTGTTTTTCTTAAGAGTCATTTAGATGAAAACCCAAGGGTCTGATGATAAATGCACTGCATCAGAAATATACAGAAAAAGATGCAAGAGCTGCCTGAAACATAGCTGGAATCCGATATAGACTATCTGTGCCCCAAACAAATGCCCTGGACACTGGACTTTTTTGTTTTAATCCCATTTGCAAACTTTATCCAAAGACAGACGCATCATTATGTCCACATATTTCATGCGGGAACTGTTCGAAGCTATCTGAAATTGTGTTGCGTGCTGTAAACAACCATTTAAGAAGTCTACGGTTTGGTTTAGCCTCGCAAAAGAGCTGCTGCCTCGCGCAGAGGAAGCTATAAATAACAATTAATTGTATTATTAAACTAATTCGAACTGTTGTTCCAAAGACGAAAGGCCGTCAGTCATGCAATGGATGCTGGGCACAATAAATTTTGATCTGCCCTTAGAAATGCCCACAGTCCCCTCTCTCTCTCTCTCTCTCTCTCTCTCTCTATCTCGCTCGCTCTCCCTTTTGAATGGGGCAGCTAATTTACATTTTTTGCCAAAGTAAAAGTTCGTGGCTCGAACGTCGTTTCTAAAATTGTACCCTCGGGGCCAGGCCCAGGACGAGAAACGGACTCGAATCTCCGGCACAATCAATTATTGGAATCAGTCAACGATCAGCAAGGAGCTGCCGCTGCACGCAATGCCCCCCAAAAAAACAAAAAGAGACGCGAAACTTTCAACAAAGATGCAAATAATAACAACAATTAATGCACAAAATGCTGTCCCGTTGCGTGTTCGCGACAAGAAGCTGAAATTGACTAAATCCAACCCAAGAAAAACGTATTTGAATTGGGTTAGTAGAATGTTTTCATCGTAACAGATTTATAATTTGCTTTAAAACTACAAGAAAGAACACCCCTGTATGACTTCTTTTGGGCTTCCATTCCTATGTATCTTCCATTAGATATGGAAGATATCTTTCAGAGGAAGCCGTAAGACCCGTAATGACTGTAATGACCCCATTATCTTTACGGAATATATATAGATATCTTTGGAGTATTCCTTTCCTTTGGACTTTCTTCGTAAACATCGAACTACTTTCCTGTGTATCTTCCATTAGATATGGAAGATATCTTCCAAGGGAATCCTTAAGATAGTCAATCGCCCCATTATCCACACGGAAATCTAACAGAACATCTAACATTTTCTTTAGATGTAGAACTCTTTGCTTTCCAATTATCCCTAAAGGCGCACCTTAAGCCAAAGAGATATATAGATGTTTGCTTTGAACTGTTTCAAAAGCCTCTACGACCTGTCAAACATATATGTTAGCTGAATTCAAACACACAAAATGAATACATTACACATAAATGCTGCAGTTTATTACTTTCAAATAATTTGGAAAATATTTTATTAATGCTTGATACCAAACTGTTTCATAGAGTTTTCAATGAATGGTTTCACATAGTTGACATCCGTATAGACGCCCGGATATTTGGCAGAGGCACAGCCTATACCAAAGGACACAATGCCGCAAAGCTCATTCTGGTTATCCTCCTGGTAGACAATCGGACCGCCCGAATCGAATGTGCACGCATCCTTCTGACCCAATACGCCCGCACAGAGCATGCTATCGGTTATGGGCACTGTGTTCGAATACAAAGAGTATTAATGAAGGATACACAAGGTCTCAAGGTTCAGGAAAACAAAGTAACCGGAAGCTTACTTGCACTTTTGTAGACATGCTTGCACTGACTCTTCTTGAGGACGGGCACCCTGACGGTGCGGACATTCTGGTGTGGATTGGATGCTTGAGGATCAGATAGACCCCAACCGGATACGGTTAGTTGCAGACCCTCAAGTAGTTTCCTGGAGCACAGACCAATTTTGGATATATTTGGTCCCTTCAATGGCCTCAATAGCAACAGCACGGCTACATCCATGTTCATGGTCTCCTCCTTAAAGACTTGAGGCACTACATAGTCAAGTATCTCGCCCTTTATGCCGTTCTCATTCAGCCTGGAGATGCCGCCCGATACCTCCCACAGATACTTCTTGGTGCGACCCAAAAAGCAATGAGCTGCCGATATAACAATGCGATCCTCGATCAAAGTGCCACCGCAAACGAATTCGCCCTGATAACGCAATGCCACAAGGTAGCCGCCCAACTTTTCAATCGTTGTGGCTTCGCCACCAACCACACGGCCTTGCACTGCCGGCGGCAGCACAATCTTGTCCAGGCCGGGAAATTCTGCGGCTACATCCTGGCTCTTGGCCGCGTCCTTGACCGGACTCTGACCTAAGCCCAGCTGTAGCAGCGCGAGAAGCACTATTAGCGCCAGCATTGCAATAAACGTACTAACTGTTTCAAATGGCATCAATCACACATACAGCTCCTGGCATTATATAAGAGCCCTAACTGAACGATTCGATACAGTTCTGCCATTACGTAGGAGCTCCGCAATGTTATGGGAGTTCAGCGCAAGCGAGAAAGTCAAGTGGAAAGTTTTCTTTCAAATTGGTTTTAATTGATGTCAATTGTAGAAGCGAATGCATTTTTCTTAAAATGTACATGGCAAGAGCTGAGCATCATCTGCGCTTCAAGTAGTTGGCCGTCCCACCTAGGAGAAACTTAAGGGTCGGACCTCGGTGAATAGTGTGCGTATATAGTAGATCAATTTGGGATCACGATTTCGCACATCTGTTGCCTGGGGATACATTGAGTTGATCAGCTGATGCAAATCCGAGTAGACCTAGAAGAGAGTAGCGATTAATACACGAGAAAGAACTGATACCTTCGACCAGCCGAAGGTTGAATACCCTTGCATCCCTGATCTGAGTAGGTCGAGCCTAAATATGGGGCCGAAGCACTCGTTAAATGTCTCTTTGCAAGGGTATTATTTGTAATCCGCAATTCGTACGCCAATGTTGCGCCAGGTGAGCAGATAGTCGAGCTTGATAACATCCAAATTATCCGAGCAGGCCTCAGAGATTTCCACAAATGTTGAATTGTCTGGCGTTACACGGACGGTGACATCCGCACCATCGTTCAAGTCCTTCGGATTGCGCAGACAGAGCACAATATTGCGCCGCGTCGCCAAACGATTCCAATCGCAGCGATAGAACTTTATCAGCTTGCAGTGAATGGCAAATGCATCGTAGATATGCAACTCGGTCGCCAGATGCTTCTCCGAGAAGTAACCATTCTCAATATAATAGCAGGCATCGTGCTCCGCAAATATATTGATGTTCTTCTCGCAGAAGCGCTGCAGACCAAAATTCCAAATCAGAACAAGAATTCTATGTTATATGTGGAGTTCTAGTTGTTTACCCTGCGTAGCTCACGATAGTCGGATATGGGTTCCTTGATTTCCAAATACTTGACTGGCCTAGCCGTATACTCGGTGGTCGTTTTCGTCACATAGCCCCGTATGCCGGCATTAGTTATAAACAGATATATGCTTACATGGAAGGTGTCCAATTTAAACACGATCTCGTTGATACTAGGGGGAAGGTTAGCAAGTCGGTCAGCTGTTGGTAGACTCATCAAATCGAAAGTGTCCGGGTGGGAAATAACTTCCAGCTAGGCTCGTAGTTTCATTAGAAATGTAAAATCCTGTGCCCTCAAAGTAGCTGAGAGATCGAAGGGTTGTACATAGGTACGGACAGTCAAACAGACGGACATGCCGCTATTGTCTTGGCTATTGATACTGAACAAGAATATATATACTTTTTCGGATATTGGAGATGCTTTCTTGCACACAATCTTTATACCCTTTTTAACCCTTTCAATCCTTCTACATACCCTTATACCCCCCTTTTATTCCTTGGGTTCAGGTCATAAATGGAGCTTACTTACTCCTCTTCGTTATACTGCAGGGTCCAATTGCGAAACGGAAACTGCTCGTAGCGCTTGTAGGCAAAACCAAAAATACCCAATCGATCCGTTTGGATCTTGATCGTTAAGGTCTCTGGCTCGAATACGGTGCGATGTATATACTTTGTTGTCCAGTGCTTGACTTTGGGTAGCTCCTTGCGCGATTCCTTGTCATCGTCATATGATTCCAATTTGGAATTTCTCATGTGCGGATGGAAGGCAATGCCTGAGTTAATGCTGATTGTGTCGCTATCCATATCGATGGGCAGGCGTTGAGTCGCTTCCCCGGAGGTTCGGGCATGAGATTGGCGTGTGGACTTTGCTGATGGTATTACTTTGTTAGTACCGACCACGGAGATGTGAACTGTGGACTTGGGTCGAGAAGTTAGCGCGCTCTCAGGCGTTTCTAATGATGCATTGGCCCGGGCTTGGGGAATGGCCTTAACATTAAAATTGGGCTGTTCTGTGATTTTCTTTGAATGCGCCTTGTACTTATCTTGGATTTCCTGCAGAGTGTTGATGACGCCATATATGGTTTGCTTCTCGGGCTCATCCGCTTTAACAACATCGCCTATTTGATCGACTTTGACAAACTTGATTTTAACCGCGCCTTCAGTCAATGACGACGTCTCACTCGATGAGGACTCTTCCAGCAGCAATCGTTCGCGCCAGTCAAAAACGGGATAAAGTCTTTCAGGTGCTTCCTGCTTCTCAAAATTGAAGTACTCTGGCTTCTCTTCCTCTTCGTACTTTGTTGTGTCCGCAACATGTCGCCGCATAAGAATGCAGCCGCGCGCCCCTCTTTCGGCCAGTTCTTCGGATCGATCCGATCGAAACTCCGTAGGAAACTTGAAGGAGGATAAAATCCGAGGCAGGCAATGACGCTGCAGATCGCGTGCCTGCATATTGGTTAACGGCTTGCCAGTTACCGGAAAGTTACGAAAATGTACGCCGGGCAGTATTGTGGTCCGCAGAGAGCTCAGACGTAGCATGCTAAGGACGGAGCGACGATATAGGTTCTTTGGGTGTAGCGTTCTTGGTATAATGTTCGACTGCCTGGGTCTGGGCAAATAACTCGTGAGATCTATAGATCTTCTAACAACAGTCTTCCTACTTGCATTCTTGATTTTCTCCTTGCCCTCAGGTGCTGTTGGTGCCTTCACGTTCGTCAGTGCGGGATTTATTTTTCTTAACGATTTCTTTTTCTTATTTCGATGCTCTTCAAGCTCAACCGTTAACAGGTGCTCCGGCTCATCCTCCTCGATCTCCTCTTCGATGAACTGACAGGCAAGCGGTTGGCCAAATCTGCATAGATGCTCCGGCAGCTTAAAGGTCATACAGAAATAGGGTAACTCGTCCGCGTTCAGCTGAAATTGTTCAATTGTTGGATCCTCCATGGCCTGGGCAAAGTTCATACGAATCTTATGCGACGACGTTGTAGTGAAACGCACGGAAGCGGCACGCGATCCTGCCATATAATTGCCCTCCTCACCATCCTCGTCCACATCCGCACGCACCTCCTCCAAGGTACGCAATATGCGTCCATCTTCATGCAGGGTTACATTGAACTTTTGAAAGTCCGTGTGCTTCGGTTTCTGTACAAAGATCATCGAATAGAGTCCGCCCAGTATACAGTAACGCCGTAAATTAATCTGTTCAAAAGGCAAATCAATTTTCTCTATACTCTAAACGAATCAGATCTGATCTCATTACCTCGTATGGCTTCAGGTGCATGTTCGCTGGATTAAGGAACTCGTCGAGAAACTCCTCGAATTCGCGCTGTTCCTGCTCGAGAAATGCGTTACGCGGATCGGGAAACATGCCCTCCGGAATTTGTTCGGGCTCCTTTAATACCTTCATTTTTTGCGTAGGTTGTTTTGTTTTGTTTTTGTTTTTATTCCTATCAGCTTCTTTCGACTTGGATGCGGCTGCCCTTACATCAATTTCTCTGAGCGTGTAAAAGATGCTTTAAAAACAGAGTATCTTACATTTTTTAGCAAATGCACAGATGGACACACCTCAGATACTCCTCATACTCGATTAGCTTCGTTTCCACTTGGGTTATTGCATTTTCCATGATATTCACCTGCATCAGCCACTCGTTGATCAGGGAATCCTCAATGTCCATCATGCCCCCGTTGAAATTATCTGTCACCCTATCGATCACCTGTTCATAGCTCTTGGCACTCTCCGAATAGGGATCGAAGAAGGTGTGTATGCAGCGCAGCGTCAGATTGTCGCCAAGCACACTAATTGGTATTTGTATCTTAATGCCCACACAATTCAGATCGGCCAGCATTAGGGGTAGCCTATTTATGAATGCAAATCAATTAAAGTCCAGCCCAACTAAATGGAGCCCGGTTGTTAGCTTACTCCAAATACTGGAAACGTATCGGCACATCGCTCAGCCACCACAGCTGAAAGTTAAAATTGGGGCTCTCGTAGCAATAGGTTTCCGTTACCCCATCAAATGCGCTGAGAATGGTAAAAAAAAATCAATCCTATTAACTTGTATATAATTTGCGCTTACGTTCTGTAGGAGGTCGGCGCACAGACAATGCGATAGGTCAGTTTATCGAAGATCACGTCGATTTCCTGGTTCAGTTCACTACGCAGCTAAAAAGAATATATATTGAAATAGCTTTCAAGGGCATGGTCAGACAGATCTTGTATGCTACAAACGTCTGCAAGGATATTTAATCTTCGGCAGACGAAAGTATACTCTACACCCTCCCTTGGATTCTACTCCAACTCTCCTACTTCCTGCCACTTCTCAGACACTCACTGATGTTATTTCCAAGGCCCGATCCGCGGGCAGATCGGTCATGTCATAATCGCTGGCCAGCAACAGCTCAATGCGATCCAGAGTTGTGAGAATGCGCTGCACATATTCATCGTAGATGCGAGCAATATTGGGACGAAGGTTCTGTTGGAGTGTTTGGCGCGTCAGATCGGTGCGGAATATGTCCTGGGTGAGAATGCTTCGCTCATCCACAGACAGTGCCCAATTGACCACAGACTCAACATGCTTGGCCTCAAAGTGTCGCATCTCGGCAATCATGCAGCGTATCTCCGGCGGATTCTGCACCCGTGGCAGGCCATCGCAGGCGAGATAACGATTCCAATGTGTCGAATGGCTCTGCTCCACCAGCAGATCCTTATAGTCCGTTATGGACTCTGGAAACAGTACAGCATTTAGTATTCAATACGATTTCAGATTCGATGCTCTACTAACCAGTTATGAAGCCCAGGCACACTCTGATATCCTGGAGCCGTTGCTGGTGACGAAGCTCGCGTGTTTTCCATTCCTCCTCGGAGATTAACGGCATATCGTTGCCCGCCGCTTTAATTTTGCCCGATTTAGCTGTTTTTTTAACCGTTTTGGAATTTGGCTTTTTTTTATCCATTTTATTGATATTCTTATGATGGGGGTTTTTTTTTACATTTTTTTTAAACGTTTTTCTATTTTATTTTATTTTTTTTTGTTTTTTTTTTTTTATTGTATTTTTTGTGTGTTTGTGTATATGTGTGCGCGTGTGTGTGTGCTGTGTGTTTTTAGGATTTCCGATTTAATTTATAAAAATAAAACAAAATGACAGTTATTTCTACCAAAAAATTTTAATTCGTATAAATTTACAGAAATCTATACATGACCTTACGAAAAACTCATTATGTGCAGTTCGTTGAGCATCCGCTTGACCTGAAAGAGCAACAGTGGGTCCTTGTTTCTGACATCCGTGGCATGGGGATTCATTGAGCTGATTGCCTGATGCAGATCCGTATAGCTCTGTAATTATTTATTTGATAATAACTTAAGCCATCTTATCCCTCATTCCCCTACTCACGCTCATGTTGCGCCACGTGTTCTTAAAGTCTAGCCTTATAACATCGAGATTATCGGAGCACAGCTCCGATACCTCAACAAAGGTCACATTATCGGGTGTTATGCGCATTGTGACCTCCGTATAGTCGGAATTATCCTTGGCATTCTTCATGCCCATCAAAATATTGCGACGAGAGGCCAAACGATTCCAGCTGGAACGATAGAACTTCATCAGCTTACAGTGCAATGCCATGGCATCATAGGTGTGATCCTCTGTGGCTACATGCTTCACCGAAAAGTAACCATTGTCTATATAAAAGCAGGCATCATTCTCTGCAAAGATGTTGATGCTCTTCTCATAGAAACGCTGTGATTCGCTTAACGATAAATATCGAAATGACAATCGGATTAGAGATATGCGAATGCTTACCCGTCGCAGCTCACGTATATCGGCGATCGGCTTTTCTATATCCAAATACTTAACCGGATGAGCTACATAATTTTTGGTTATATCTGTCACATAGCCTCGTATGCCCTGAGCCGTAATATAGAGTACAACACGTGCGTGAAACGTATCCACGCTCAGTATAATTTCCTCATTACTAGATCAAAGAAGAGGGTGTGGGGGGAGAGCAAGGAGAAGCAGTTAGAGGCATGTTAACGAGCGCGTCCAACTAAAAGCTACAAGCATTAAGATCCATACTATGCCAAATTGAACTAGGTTTACTAAACGATAACTATGAAGTTTTCGAATATGCAAGAGCAGAATCAAAAGGAAGATATATATATATAAAGATGTTGGATTAGGCTATCCATCAAGTAAAATGATTATCAACCTGTTTCGTATTCAAAACTCTTCAACTCCTATGTAACATATAGACAAAGGGTAAGGCGGACATGTCTCGAATCGAGATACTCATCAGATATAATAGAATAGTATAGACTTACTTCTCCTCATTGGGCTGCATGCTCCAGTCGCGAAAGGGGAAGTGCTCGTAGCGCTTGTAGGCAAGCCCAAAGATGCCCAGACGATCGGTTTTGATGTGCATGGTGCGTGCCTGTCTATCGAATTTGCTGGACATGATGTGCCTGGTGGACCAGCGTATAACCTTCACTTTGGGCTTTTCCGCGCTCACCTCTTCCTCCAATGGCGTTGGGGCCTCCGGCGTCCGGGTATCCTGTGTGTCCGTTGTTCCATCATTTAAATTAAGACGGCTCGAGTTGCGATAGCCGCTCATTTGTGAGCCGGACGCCGGCAACGGACTATGGCTGCCTCGCAGTGAGGAATGCCTGCTACTAACTCGGATCGTGGACTTAAACTTGGGCAGCATCGATGTAGCCCGTGCGTCTGGGCTGGGTACTACAGTCTTTTTCGATAGCAGCTTTCTCATCATAAAATCCGTCTGATTTGTGATGTCGCGATGTCTGGTAATGTACCTGTGCGAGATGCTGTCAAAGGTATCAATCAGTCCGTAAATGGACTTCTTTTCGATATCGTGCTGTATGTCCGTCTCATCGTATTTGATATGTTCGATATCATGAAAGACAGGATAGACGCGCTCGGCTGCATGCTGTACCTCATAATCGAAATCCAAATCGCCGACAGCAAAATTATCCTCAACCTCAACGCTGCGTCGACGTATCAGCATATTTCTGGTCTTCGGTCGCTGTTCCAGTTCCTCCTCTCTGACCTCCAGCGGGAACTTGAACGAGGATATGATCCGTGGCACACAATATCGTTCCAATTGTCGCACCTTCAGGTGATCCAATTGCTGCACCAAATGAAAGTTTCGCAGCGGCAGCACATGCTCACCGGGCATCAGTTTTCGGCTAACACGCAGCATGGATAACAGCGTGGGACGAAACACATTTATGGATGTTTCGCGTCGTGGTATTTGCGTAAACTGTAAGCTATCATTCCAGATGAGCTCGGTGTGCCTAATTGAAACCATTTTTGATTTCTTCTTCTTAATCACCGACTCCTTTCGCTCATCATTTAACGAAATTTCCGATGCTTGCTCCTCCATGGTACATAGATATTGACAGGCTATCGGCTCACCCCACAGGCACAGCTCGCGTGGCAAATGAATGATCACAAAGAAATAGGGCAACTCATCGTCCTCGAGCATAAAGGTCCTACGCTGATTATCATCCATATTCAGCCGTAACTTGGATCGATGTTCCGACAGCCGGGAAGTTCGGGAGCCCACTCGGCTATCATCGTCCCGCTGCAAATTGGCCACAATATCATCCATAATGTGCAACACTCTGCCATCTTCATGCAATATTATGTTGAGCTTCTGATAATGCGTATTTATCGGACGACGTATAAACATTAGCGAATATAGGCCGCCCAGCATAATGTACTGTCTCAGATTGATCTGTATGTGGATTATCATAAAGAGAAACGAATTTATGTTGTCTAGCAGCAACTCTGCTCACCTCGTCCAAGGTTAGCTTTAGGTTAGCTGGATTGTAAATCTCATCGAGCATATCCATATACTGTTGCTGTTCGCGTTCGAGGAATGCGCTATAGGCATCTGGTAGCATGCCGGGCGGCACCAGGAGCGCCTCCTTGGGTGCCTTGGGTATATTTATTTTCGTTCCATTGCCCTCATTGTTCTTCTTCTCCTTGTTCATCTTCTCCGTTTTCTCCGCAATGATGCGCAAAGCCTCATCGTAGGCTTCGCGTTTCTCCAGCAGATTTAGCAACAGATCTGTTTGTATATCCAGCTGCATATACCATTCGTTGGCCAAACACTCCTCGATATCCAGAATCCCAGCATTGACATCCACATTGCCATCCGGTAAACAAGGATCAAAGCTCTTTGCGTATTGCGAATAGTTGTCAAAGTTCGTGTGGATGCAGCGCAAGGTGAGGCAATCGTGCAGCACGCTCAACGGCATCTGAACACTGACGGCCGAAGCGCTCATTTCGGCGACCATTAGTGGGGCGCTACGGATTATTAATTCAGTTAATAAAGCCATCAAATTGGCCTTGATAGGGCTTGAGACTTACAGCATTTGTTCGAAACGGACGGGCACATCGCGCAGAGCCCAGATATCTATGGCATATTTGGGGCACGAATGAGACCAGGTGGCCACAAGGGCGTTATCTGAGCTGTGAAACAAGATTTAAGCCCGAGCAATTAACAAAGTGAAGTATTTTTGGATAGAGTGAGCGACTAGGAGTTACCCTGTAGATAGATCAGAGCTACTCACAGATGCAAATCTGATATCTCTTGAAATGGAATGGAAGTGAATGGAATATATATATTTCAGTTTTCAGTGTCTTTAGCAGACGGACGGACCTGACTACCTATATTTGCGTACATTATACCCGCATTTTAAATGGTTACAGGGTATTCACCTACTTCATGTAGACGCCATCCATGCGTATTATGCGATAGGTTAGACGATCGAAAACGTCATCGATTTCATGCTCGATTTCACGGCGCACCTAACCAAATAAAAACGAAAAGTTATCGATATTTTTCGATTGTGTCGATCGTTTGCACGTACATCCATAATCTCCATTTGACGGGCAAAATCCACACGCTCCATTTCGGCCATGTTATCGAGCATACAATCGATCTTGACCAAAGTACTCACATACATGAATATATCCGCCTCATACAGATCGCCGATATTTTCACTTAGATTCTCTTTGATCGAGCGCCGTGTGAGATCCTTGCGGAAGATGTTCTGGTTCAACAGTGTGCGCTCATCCACAGACAATGTCCAGTCCACGTTGTGTACTGTATTGAACTGTTGAAAGTAACGCTTCTTTGCGAGAAATGTGCGCATCTCTGGCGGCAAATACGGGCGTGGCAGGCCATCACAGCGCAAATAATGCTCCCAATGCTCGAGACGTGCACGCTCCCCCTCGAGGCGTGCGAACTCCGTGGTGGAATCTTAAATCGATAAGTTATCGATGATCGAATTCGATATCCGCTTTGGCCGCTTACCCCTGATATAGTTACGGGTAACGCTGATGTCCTGCAAACGCTGCAAATACTTTTTCTCCCGTTCCTGCATCTCTTGGATGCTAATCAGAGTGGTTCCCGTGCTCTCCTCCAATTTTGGCTTGCCCATCGTGTGTTTTACTTGAATTGTGTGCTCGAGATTTGGAGTTTCTTGTGTGTAGTTGGGATAACATGACAGTAAAGTCTTGATCAGGTTTCTTATACATGATTTGCCAGCTGCTCGAACCATTTGTCAGACCTTCAGGCCCAACACTTCTCGCCCCTCTCCCATCGAGAGACCTAAATCGAAAACTCAAATCTCCTGCTGTCTCCTGCTGTTGCCCATAACTCAGCCGGCGCATGTGGGTGCGGTTGGTCAGCCCAACAAAATCCACAACCAGGGGGGAGGCCCTTCTTCCCCATCAGATGCCTCGCGAGGCATCGCCTCCTCGACTGTTATCATTTGTGGATTTATTTGGGCTCCGTGCCAGCAAACTTGCGACTTGTTTATGCCGCTTGTGCAATAATCTATTGCAAATCCAAGTGGAGAAAGTGTAGACTATAAGTTGAAAACCAACAGGAAAAGGGAGCTATAAACCGAGTGCCGAAATAATAAATAC